AGCTATAGAGCGGATTTCGTATGAGTGGGACACCGTTACCGCACGGTTACCGCACAGTTACCGGACCTGGCCTTCACAATTTTGGTGAAACAATGGGGCACTAGAATTTGGTTACAGTACGATTACGGTCACAGTACAGTACCGTCCGTTTCCCACTCATACGAAATCCGCTCTATTTACACGGGAAATATTCTCTTTTAGAAATAAATCGAAATTGAAAACAAAAACAAACAAACAAAAAAACACACTTGCCACGTTCAAAACATCTGCATTTCTTCATTAAAAATTTAGGTCTTAATTAACCGAGCGCGTGGTCTGGATAGAAAGATCTAGACCGCGACGGGAAGTACAGGGCGAGAGCGAGTTTAWTTTATGACCGTTTTCATTTTAAAAAAGTAATCCAAAGATAGCACAGAACATAAAAGGTTCATGYAGTTAAAATCTTCTACGCTTTTTGCGGATTAGCCATCTGAAGTTTCGTCTGAATAATCAAATTCTTCTTTCTCTCATGATTTTTGGCCACTACTAAATAGCTTTAAGCCGAATTTCAAAAATTCAATTTGCAAAAATTCGAAACAGCGCAATCATTTTACCCATGAGAATCTAGAACGGTGAAAAATCGACTAGACCAATCAGATTACCCAATTTACTCGCGTCCAGGTTCCAATATGCACGGTCGTATAATAAAAGTTTGCTAACATCTTTCAATCCCAGCAAGAGTTGGGATTGAGCTAAAGATTTGCAAAATTATTAGTTTTAATTCTGTCAAAGTCAGTAAATTTGATCGTTTTCATTGAGATAAAAGGTGTCATTTCCAAAAACTTATTTCTATATCTTTCTTGATCTAAGTGAGAATCTTGAGGAATTTAAAACATTAAGTCATCTAACGCTGTAATAGTAACAAGTTTAATTGCACTGTATTGTAATGTTATAATCATTGAAATTCMAAAAAAACCGTCAAAGATTCTGAATGTTAGTTTGAAATTAGAGACATGCTGGCAATTCTTCGCCAATTCTTCGCCAGAGCGGTCATCTTGGAGGAGCMGCACTATTGTACAAACTTTATGAATTTAAGAGGTTTTTATATAAAACGAAACTAGTTTTTCTAAGAATCCTGGTGTTTTGTTGCGTAAAGTACTTAGTACTTAGTACTTTGAGTTTAAACTCTTACACAAAATAAACTTCAACAAAGGATCTCTCATTTAGTATCTATTGTTCATTCCTCCAACACCTGCGCYGGTCTTTCATCTTTTGAATCTTATGGGAATAGAAACGATCAATTAGGATTGACCATAGCTATTTTCAAAGTGAAAGTTATCAATACAATAAAATCCAATCAAGGTATTTACTTGATCAGCATGAGGCGAAGTTTCTAGATTTGTTTAGCAGTTATGTTTTCGTCGTTTTGGGACATCATCCTTGATCAAGTTCAAAGGTCACAGTTTACGAAACAGAAATCTTATCAAAAAATCATTTTTCTCATGAAACATTTTGAGTATTTAGATAGCTTCTTGGAATTTCATGTCTCAAATCACTATGCTATATGAATGTTTTTAAGTTKGCTTAATAATCCAGTATCAAGTACAATTAACTGCTTTTTTAAGTTGGMACGCTTTTCATTTTCATCAGAACGAACTGGCTAAAAACCTTGAAAGAAACAATTCCATTCTTCCAAATATAATTTTAATTTAAAAAAAAGAAAAAAATGGAGAGTTAAAGAAAGGAAGAGGAAGCTTTCAAACTGAAACGTCGTGATTCCCTCCTACATAATAGCTTGTCCTAACAGCGCTAAGTTCTGACATTCATTGAAAACATGTCCCAAGAAGAGATTCTGTCTCATTTTTGTTTTATTCTAATGAAGGCAACATATTTTAAAAATCTAAAAATGTGGTGCATTCTGATACTTCAAATGCTTCATGTGTACTAAGACAAGAAGGGATCATATAACTAAATGATATCCATACCTTCGCGTCATCAGCTTCAGCAAAAACCTTTCAGATAGCGTGCACTATAGCGATCGCTGCTTTTTCCTCGCACAGATGATTGTGATACAGCGAGAACCCAAGACATCCAGCTAAACGATATGTACGCGTTAAACAAAATTTTGATTATCTCCCAGGGTATTCTTCCTAACTCCTCCCAATCGCGCAGTTAATTCAACTCCATTGTTTTGTTTTGTTATGTTTTTGTTTTTTGTTTTTTGTTTTTTTTTGTTTTGCGAGAAACAGCAGGAAGACTGTGAAAAGAAAGTTGGGTTATCCGGGCAGTTAACTTTCTGATGTTTCGTTCGTCATCTTTAGCCTTTGTACCAAAATTTACGGAAGTTTTACATTGACCAGTAAACGGAGATTATATTATTTTGTGAGTTATGCTGTTCTGAAAATGTTCGATTTCCTATCGTGAAAAAATGAAAATTTAGCGAAGACGGTGGACCTGTAAAAATAGGCTGAAAAAAAATTAATTTAACGAATTTTGAAAAACAAAGTCGATTTTCATTACTTACTATGATAGGGCAATTCATGGTAGAAATTTGAGGGAAAACTATTTCTGAGCCGAAATTCATCGGACCGCTTTTACAGAGACTGCCTCTTAAATCTTAAAATGACTAGCTTTTTTTGTCAATAGCAACACTTAAACATGGAAAATATTGCAAATAAAATTGTGAATACATGGAGCTTATTTGGAATTCAAATCTTTAGTGTTTCAGGATCTTGAAAGTCTGTTTAGATTGGGAGGAGAGAGGCGGATTCTTGATATAATAATATGTTACTCAAGCGAGGAGAGATATGACAGCGGGCACCGAACAATTGAAGCAGGTTATAATAAAGGAAAAGGAAAACATTCAATTATATATCTGCTTTAGCTACCTTTAGAATTTAAGAGGATTTTGAATGAACAAATGAGAGCTAAATCTCAAAAACATTTCTTGAAAATTTAAATAAACTTAAGTAATTATATTCGACAGTACTTTCTGTTCTATGAGTGTCAAGAAGTTTCTTATAACCCTATTTCTTTTACTTTTTCTTTTCATTTTACCTGCCCATTGTTTCGTCTTTTTACGTTACTATGGAGTTTACTTCAAAAGTTTACTTAATCAATTAATCAATCATTTATTATTTTGATAAATCTTTTGACAACAGTTCTTTAGAACGAAAATATTTTGCACAGCAAAGTAAAGCAATTGTTCTTTCTTCAGATTCCTACCAATTCCAGCGACCGATTGGCTAAGGTAACTTAATCTGAGTTTTGTCATTTCTTTTTATGAGAAATTATTGGTAAAAAAAATATTCAAAGTTTAATTTCGAATGACAACATAATAAGGTGTCTTATGATTAAGTGCCATATTTTGGCTATACACTTTTAATGTCACGAATTGAAATGATTATAATCGGATTTGATTTTTGCAATATTGACATCATAATGAGCTAGAGACACACTATAAAGAGGGCTTTAATTTGAAGCCGCTTCGTAATCAATAATTTTTCTAGGACAAAAATCCAAAAAGGCATCAATTGACAATTAATGAAAAACAAAAACAGACTATCTGGTAAATTTAGAACGAATTGTAATTTCCAAGAAAGGAGTGTTTTAAATTTAGTGCATTTCTATTTCTCTAGCCATTTATCTCTATAGATAATATTAATAAAAAAGAAGTCAGCTAATTTTTTTATAATCGACAGCTTCCTYACTGTTAAAAGTGCCTATAGTCAGTGATTGTCCGCTGTAGAACTAGTCTAAAAAATCAAGTTGTACATTCACAGTACAGTAAAAAGGGCTCGAGGATGTCTCTGGTCTTCCATTGAAAACCCTTTTTTGAGAGTGACAAGCTTTGAAGAGACGTTTATATAGCCAGCGTCGGATATCTAACAGTCAKTCATTGTAAATTGCCTGATGAGTGTTCGGGGTCAAATTGCATACGAGACAGTTCTATAGCAATAAATCAATGGATAATACTCAAAGCGCTTAGCTCAATATTTTATATTTTATATKTAAGACCATGAAAAATTATTCTTAATCAATATTGAGGTGTATTTATTATCTCTTTATTTTTGTCGTAGAAAAAAAGGTGTAAGAGTAAAGATTTAAAGATGAAAAACACGAAACTTTCCGTAGTGTATTTTATAATCTTAACAGCGATTCTTGGTAAGTTGAGTCAGTGAAAATGCTAATAATGCACAAGCAATGAATTGATCCGCATAATGATCACACGATTTTGAAATGGACTAAATATTCATATGTCGCTGAAGACCAGCTAGCCAAATTCTTGAAAATACTGCTTGAGGTCCAGGGAAATTTCCGGAGCTTGATAACTCTGGCCATTATGTGCAAATAATTGTCTCAAAGCTTCACTTAAAKTCAAAAATGCGAAGTTTTGCCATCATTTTGGCGGTACATCTCTAAAACTACAATCTTTTCCAAAAAACCTTGAACCATATAATTTCTTGTCTCCAGTCTTTTTCACAGTTCTCCCTAAGCCCCCTTTCATCAATGTTGAGTACCATGTCATGCTCAATGGCAAAATTCCATTTGGGGGCTTAGGTTTAGGGGGGGAGGGGTGAAATTATCTGCAGGTGTTGCTTAAAATGAGGAAATTCGGTGGTTGTAGGTTTCACAGCAGTCATTGCTCTAAAATGCTGCATCTGTTCATTGCTCATATTTTTTTAGACCAAGCATTGTACTATTGTAGAATAACTCAAATCTAAATTCTTGTCTAACTTGTATTTTCAGTTTATGMAGTGAAGTCCGATGATGTAGGTAAGTCTGCTAGTCCCCACAGCGTTAATTGTACTCCTTGATTAAGTTGAATGTACTATAAAYAAAAAATCGCACGACCTTGAGTACAATTTGGAATTAAYAGTCACTCGTAATGTTTTGAAAGTTCTCAAATTGCACTCAAGCTATCGGGYTCGTGCAATTACGAGAACTTTCAAAACATTACTCGTGACTATTAATTCCAAATTGTACTCAAGGTCGTGYGATTTCCTATACAAATCGCRAAAGCTCATGCGCTTATGTTGCCACGGCAAATTTTATGTTTTTAATTACATATTCTCTCACTAAGGCAAAATACAGCGATCGACTCTGTAAAGATGGTTATTCACAATTAAGCCTAAAAAAATATAAAAAAAATAAAATAAATAAAACAATGAAAAAACATAAGTAAAAATATGCAAATCTATTATTTTTCTACGCGATTCAACATATGAAGATATATTTCTTATCACCAATTAATGAGAAATAATCATGGCTCTAAATTGATAATTTATCACGTGCCTTATAGAAAATATGACCTTATTTACACAGAGTGCAAAGGTATCAAGCTAACGCGTCTTGGCTGCTTCAAAGATAAGTCAAATCCTAAGGATCGCACTCTATCCCGTTTGGTCCTCACTTATAAAGACCCGAGTAGTCCTGTATACTCTGGTGAACAAATTGACTGGTTGGACTTTGAGGAATACCTAGCCGATTATATTTGTAAATGCGCTAAAAGTGTCTTGAAACTTGGATACCGCGTCATTGGGCTGCAGAATTACGGTATGCTGCATTTCAACACATACCTTAATAGGCAATGTGCAACGACGCCATTTGTGAAGTAAAGCATGATGGTAGTTGTAATCCTCGCGCTTTTCATAGTCATAAAARAATGTCATTAAAAGAAGATTTTAAATTTTAGAAACGGCACAAATACTGCTATTTTCGCTTAGAAAAATTAAAAAAACTGATATAGGATGACTGTTTTAGAGGACATAAAAAACTGCGAGGACTACAACTACCATCATTCTGTGCTACACAAAATGGCGTCGATGCATATCATCCCTAAAATAATGAGTTATCTTTAGGAAAGATAAGTGAAGAGTAGGTCAGATATGATCTTTGTGATTTTTAAAAACATGTCATCACTAGAAAATCGATAAACATATTCCTGAAAACCTCATTTTTTCACATATGAAAAATTGGAAATACAACCGCATTGAATGCTGGTAGACTAGGCATGGTTCTTTAAGCCCTTATATGTGTGTATTTCATTGAAGTGCTTGCGTTTAGGTGAATGCTGGTCAGGACAAAGCTATAGATATGCGATGTACGGTACGTCAAATAAGTGCATAGATTCGAAGTTTCAAAGCTGTAAGAGCGGTATGGACTGTGTTGGCCAAGATGACACAAATTTTGTTTACCGAGTGCAGAAAGGTGAGAGTTATACAAGTTGCTTAGCCCCTATATTTTTCTAAGCACACAAATTATAATCACATTATAGTTTTGGTCTAGCAGGTCAAAGTTTCATGCCGGAAATCACCCAAGCATGTCGCGCGAGCTGGCTGGCTGAACGTTATTTTTTTGCATAAAAGGATTTAGTAATTTATACATACAATATTCTCTGGCATTTCAAGGGTTAGAGCGGATTTCGTATGAGTGGGAAACGGACGGTACTGTACTGTGACCGTAATCGTACTGTAACCAAATTCTAGTGCCCCATTGGTTCACCAAAATTGTGCAGGCCAGGCCCGGTAACTGTGTGGTAACCGTGCTGTAACGGTGTCCCACTCATACGAAACCCGCTCTAGTATCATGTTCACGCGTGATAATGCTTTTGAGCTGCAATGTTTTCACTTCAGGACTGTCGCTTGCTGCGGTTTCATCATGTTTATAGAATATTTTTTTTAATTGGTAGTAATGCGCATGTCATGTATCAACCCACTGGAAATTGACCATGGCTTTATCTCACTGCATGCGAAGGAGCTGATTACACATAACCAAGTAGTAACACAAAGAATTGATACACTTTTTTACAGATCTTCCTTCTGCAACAGCAAAACCAACTGGGCAGCGAACTACASCCCGAACGACACCACCCACTCCATCTCAAACACCGTCAGCAACTCCATCACCGACACCATCACCAACCCCGTCATCGACAATGACACCACCACAAACACCGTCACCAACACCTTCGCCGACAAATTCGCGAACACCTTCGCCGACACAGTCGAAAAAATTTTCAACTACATCAAAGCCCACAACGCCTAGAATTCGATCCCCTAAACCTTCTGGATTGGGTACCAGCACGGCCAAGAAACCTCCTTTACCTACATCAAAAGCCACAASGCCTGGAATTCGTTCCCCTAAACCTTCTCAAATGGGTACCAGCACCGCAAAAACACCYCCTTCGCCTACAAAGGYCCCAACTCCCTGTTCTCAGCCTCATAACATCCCCTGCAATTCACCCGCGATGCCATRTGMAGCACCTTGTCAGCCCGTAGTATATCCTGCCCCATTGATGCCATACCCTGGACCTTATGCACAAGGCWCATCCAATGCGGTAATGGGGCAATATCAACAATTTCCATCCAGTGGAGCTAAGTGTCCGTCCCAATGTGCTCCAAATTGTAATGCAGGRTGTTGCCAAGGTTACTATCAAGATAAACCAATGAGGGGACAGAATGTATGCAGACAGGGATGCCCAACAAAGTGCGCACCAAAATKCATGACAGGATGCTGCCGTTTGTTTGGTGGATTGCATAAGAGGGTAGCAATAAGCAAACACAGTATCCCGAGCCTAGATGATAGCTAGAATATTGAAATACAACACAAGAACGTGCTGCCTGTTGACACAGTTTAGTAAAATGGACTCTGCCACAAAACGTGCATGCCTCAGGCACTCCCCATTTCAACGGCATTTTTTTAAATAAGGTTTTATGATCATATAACTTAAATTTGACAATATTTATGTTCTTTATAAAGGATACTTAATTGATTGCTGTATTAAAAATTATTATTTTTTTATCATTTGAACAGTCAATTGTGGACACTCAAGGGAATACGAACACAATACTTCATTTATGATCAAACCTTATGCCATGTGCCCTMCTMCTAAGCCACAGYCATAKCTTAAATTAGTKCTCAWTAGCTACCTTATCTATCTCGGAGTAATGAAAGTGGAGGGGCTGRCRGAACACCCAACAAAGCTTTCAGAGAACTGTGCACTGTGCGTCATTCTTTTAGTCAAATAGTGGTGTGCATTTCGATCATTTACAAACTATATAGATAATGCTATGTGAAGAGAGGCTAGAGCACTCATCTTGGAATCATGGTCGACATATTAACAGAGTCCAGGTCCAACTAATTCCTACTCTGGTATTAGCATCTTGTACTTATGGGTATTTTGTTTTCAATTCATAAATTCTATAGGATGGAATGAGACCTTGAGTGTTCCTTTTTGTTTTCGAAGAATAGGCGGGAAACTACGACATTCAGGCGAATGATAGGCAAGATTTTAAAYAGATTTTTTTTAACTTTAAAAAGTTGTGGTATATATTTGACTGCAGTAGGTATATATGGAGACGAATCTTAAAATCTACTATTGTTCAGTGCGGAAATAAGCGATTTTTGCCTCTCAGGCATCATCAATTCATCAGAACTTAAGATTTAATTTAACCTAGCGATTGGCAATGTAAACGTATTGTCATATAAACAATTAGATCCAGCTATATGTCGTTGATGGAGGAAAATCAACCTTGATGATGTACCACCTAAAATCACGATAGCGTATTACCAAGACATCGTAGAAGATATGTCATATCTTTTAATTTTTCCCTTCTTCCCAATGCTACAAGAATTAATTCACAAATATATATAGAAACCTCTTCCTTGTTGGTCCTACGCGACTTGCATGCCAAAAAATCTAGCATTTTCCAATTGTTGTAGATTTATTCATTAACTCTGTTTACGATATATTGTAACAACAAAAATTATTGTTATGACAAGGATTTGAAGGATTAAAAGTCATGTTCTATAAAATACGCTTCCTAAACCACAATCAAGTACATCTAATTCTAAAGATACTATCCAGAAAGTTTAATTTATACACGGATGATAGTAATGCTAGTCTCGTGACTCAAAGCCCAATTGTTTTGATAATCCTAATWCCTGGTGACYTCCCTCAATGTAAACTTGATCTAAAGATTTTGAGGCTGTTGTTCATTTTCCGTTAAAAMGTACARAMSCCATACCTGTAAGGGTGTGATTCCTTTTTCTTCAAACGAAAAAAGTCATTACCTACAAACCCGAGCACTTAATATATCCGATATATTCTTGTTTTTATTTGTGTAATTAGATTACCTTTTCTAGTTATTCTAAAGCGATTTCTTGTCTTTTAGAAAGTTGTTTGTGTGAGTACCATGAGAATCCATGCTGTGCTACCAACTTCTATTGTTTTGTTTATTCTTTGTTCATTAATTTTACGGTTCAGTGACGAAGAAACTGAAAAGCACTTTGTAAACACAGCTCTTTGCCCGATGGCAAGATGAGCGTTCTTAAGAACGGTATGTCCAGTTTTTAACTCGTTGATTTGACCCAAGATCGCCGAAAGCTAAGTTGAAAAATTCGAGGCAAAACGTTTAAATTATATAGCTATATGAATGTAAATTAACGTAATACACGTACAAAAATTACAATTATTAATTACAATTACAAACATTTCGGATGGTTAAAACTGAAAATCCGGTATTGGGCGGTCTACTTTCAGTACGAGTTTTAAGGAATTAGTTTGGAAAGTCTAAATAACTCAGAGCTGCACTCGTAAGCCTACGTAAGAGGGGAATCTAATGCACTTGAAGGGCAAATGTTCATGGACTGTCGCGACTTCTGGACATGGTAAGTAACTTTTTTTCTCTTCAATCGTTCCCAAAAATACCGAATCATCTCAAATTTAGTTCTTGKCTTCTTATCAATAACATTCTTATTTTAATATTTTAGATGTAGCTCAATACAAGAATTATTTTACGGCAAAACATCACAGAATAAACAACGTTGTTTACTRCAATTTGATCGAGAAGATCATGACCTTATACCTGATACTGGGGACTGCAGTGGCTTTACTTACTCTTATGGGTAATTCAATGATTGTTTTTCGTCCTTTTTTTTTTTGATTAGTGGAAAATGTTTTGAGGTTCGAAGTAGGTTTACTCAATCATGAAATTGCGGAGAATGTTGAAGGTACCTATAAATATGAATGTCAGTTTGAATTGCACCCAAAAAGGAAATGAAGACACCACACCAAGAACCGATCCAGCTSAAATATTAAAGGGTGTCCAAACAGTTTTAGGGTTGCTAAATGTGTTTTATTTTTTTCTATATACAAATTATTGAAAATAATATAAAACAGTTAACCTTTTCTGCTTAGAGGGCAGCAAGAGCACCCTTTTTTCCTTTCCAGGATCCTCCCTTGACTACATATGGTTTTGTTACACATTTAGCTGCGTGCAAATTCAAMTCTGTGCTTAGTTATATCATGGATACATCGAAACATTTTCCGCTTTATAAATTTGTTTTTAACGGAAATTCTAACTCTTTTGTCACTAATTTTTCTTTAAGCCAAATGCAGCATTACATCAAGTCATCGATCTGTCAGTAAGTTCACCTTAAATATTAATGTACGGGCAATAAAGAAAAATTAAGTGTCAATGGGTGCACACCAAACACACCATGCCTTTGAAGCTATTCCGACATTGATACAACTGTCGAAAGCAATTATTAGTAATATTAACAATAWATAAATTCAATAATTTTGAATCTCTAGGACAGCTGTTGTCACGTTGTAAAATCTACTTGGGAAGTTTGCATGCAATACCTAGTTGTAGGCAAAAGTGCTGCCTTCAAACTCTTTCTAATATGTCTATTCAGTTCCGTTCAAAGTTTACAACAGTATCTCATATGCAGAAACCTTACCAAAAACAAAAGAAAGCACGAGAAAAAGGTGACATTACAATAGCCCTATAAATTTGCATTTTCTCCGATTCTGTGTATTCCGCARAAGGTTCGAACTCTTGCTCAGTCTCAAATCGGAGAATATTCAAATTTGTCAACATTTTTCCGTACTTKCTTTTGTTCTCTATGCAAGTGAGTCTKTTGTCTACTAAAACAGCGGTCGTTCGCATTCAACTGGAAAAAGGTTTATTCTTGCTGCAGGTTGCAAAGATATCAAGGTTATAAGACTTGGATGCTTCGAAGTMAATTTTGATCGTTTACCGTTTCCTATGCCAGAGAAGTTGTTCACAGACCTGGATCCACGGAAACTATTGTACAGTGGCCATGATATAGAGGATTTGGATGAAAAAAGCTACATCTATGACCTGATTTGCCGGTGTGCATCTTATGCCAAAAAGAGGGGTTATGACTTTATTGGTCTTCACAACCACGGTAAGATTGTATCTGCTGTTGCATGCCTTGGAAAGCTCTCTTATGGATTTGCTACCTATTTGTTGAATAAAAGTAAACTTGAGAACGAGGAAACAATGAGCATTGTTGTATTCCTCCAATCACAAGAAACCTTGCAAACACGTGAAGGATAACTGCAGATTCCTTTGGTCCCGGCAATAAAAAAATTGATCTAATTTGTGATGTCCATTTTCATCGTTTTGCTTCATCCATATTTGTGAGATCAAGGAAAGCTGCTTACATTGATTTTCAATACAATGTCAAAATATCTCTTATTTTAAACCAACGTGCGTAAGATTGCTTGCGCAATCTTCTAACATACTAAAATAATTGTAATCTTTAATTTTGAATGAAAGAAACCAGTTTCCAAACGCATTTCATTTTAAAGTCCAACGTGCATCCAAGATCTTCAGTGATCATTTCTTTTGTCTTACAAATAATTCCGTGTTTATAGTTGATCTCTGATCGGTTTAAAATCAAAAGATGTCGAATTTAACAATGTGTAACAATCGCACAAATGAAAGGCATARGGACCTTTAAAACAAAACCGAATATCTCAAAAGTATGCACGCTAATTCAAGGTGAACGGATCATAAGACATTGGTCGACATGCAAGTTCTGTTCATTTGATATTTCTCTATATCAATTATGTAGGCGAGTGCTGGTCTGGAGAAAACACTGCTATTGATTACTCACGTGACGGGACATCCGAGAACTGTGTCAAGTGGGACAACACGCCCTGCCAACACGGAGTGGAGTGCATTGGCGAAGAGAACACAAACTTTGTTTATWAACTTAGAAGAGGTAACGCTGGATTAATATATGATCCCAATAAACAAATTTACGGATAATTTACAGTCCCTCCTTATTAAATTTACAGATTATTTACAAGCCCCCCTTACTGCATTTATAAAGAATTTTGTTTTATAATCACTGAATGTAATTTACAGAATTTTCAATTTACAGATATTGTAACTATCCTGTAAGATCAATTTACAAAGTCTGTAAATTATTATTACTTTACAACGTTTCTAGTGGATCTTCCCCAAAAACGATGGGATTCGTGATCCCACATACCTCGTTACTAGCATGATTATTATGTTCATATGACTTACATTGTTTCAGAGGACGCAGTATTGCCTACCACAAGAGCAACAAAAGCAACACCACGACCTTGTCCATTTGCGCAAACACCAATCAGCTATTCATATTTCTGCCAGCGGTATTGTCCTTTGCTTTATATTTACCCGTACACTTCATCGAATGTTTGGTACCCAGTTGCCGTCCCCTACCCGGCTTTACCTAGAGCCTGTCAGCAAGTTTTGTGCCCGTTGCAATGCGCACCTGGTTGTACCTACGCATGTACATGTCGTTGCAAGATTCGTTTCAAGAAGTTAAAAAAATTGATAAAACAAAAAGGTGAATTGCCTTCAATTGAGAAATTGTCTGGAAGCGTTAGAAAGATGAATTTTAACAAGAATGCCAATTGAAACTACAAGAAATAGAATTGTTGGAAAGATAAAGTGCAAGAATGGAGAT